CATGCAGTAAAAAATAATAAAACTAATAAAATTAGTAAAAAATAATTATCCGTCAGCTGCTGTAAATATCTTGCAAAGATCTGTCCGAATTGTCAGCATGTACACATAAATTTTACAACAGAAAAAACCTCAAGAAAACCTGGATTAATGATTGCTTTTTTGCCATCATTATTCCAAATGTTGGGTTTTTTGGTCTTTTGGATACATCCTTTTCTATTTTGTTAATTGTTGCACAAAAAATTCTCGGTGTCAAAAGACAGAAATACCCCTCTTCATTTTTTCAAGAAATACATAGAAATTACTATAATAGGATTATTTGGCCATTTAGATAAATGAGATTTCTAATTTCATGTACTTAGCTTTTCATCTCGTCTAGTTCTAATATTTAATGAAACCGGTGACTCATCGGGTACACGTGTTTTACGTAAACCCGATATTAATCATATGCGACAAACTCAACCTAGTATTTCTTAACAAATTAATTTAAACATGAATCAATTATTACGTGTTCACTTACTCCAATCGTAGACCGTCCATGATGGGCAGGGGCGGACTCACGTGTAGCCTTGGGGGGCTTCCGTCCCTGCAAAAAAAATTCTTTTTACCAATTTTATGTTAATTTTTTTTTTTTTTAGTATTTATCTATTAAATTTATAGACTTTGGTCCTCTAAGATTTAAATTTTGTACATTTTAGCCCATAAAAAATATATTTTTACTTCTCTTATTTCACAAATATTTTAGTCCCCACCAAAAAACCCTAGGTCCGCCCGACGACCGGTGCATATATATATATATATATATATATATATATATATATATATATATATATAATAGTATCTTTTTCTAGTGACAATGATGCGTCTGATTTTTTAAAGTTGAGCAATTTCTTTAGTTCCAATTTCTTTTGATGAATGATGGAAGTGAAAAAATCGTCACATCATTTTCATTATAAGCTTGAAAGTGCTTATCCAACAATCACTTTATACTTTATATTGAAATGAGCAAAAGCCGATTAAAAGTTTTGGAATGGGGAACACATATATATGATATGACCAATACTTCCCTTTTTT